TTTTTTTTATTTCTATTGATTATTGTTTTTTAGAATGTATCTTGAAAGAGCGTTTATTTTATGTTTTGATTTCCAAGTGTTACATTTTTCTTAGTATTTATTAGTTCATGTTATTTACTGATTTGTGTTATTTTATGCTAAACTTTTATATTTTTTTAACTTTGATACTTTTATACTCGAATTTATGGTTTTAGAGATTCCTGTCTTATGGTTTCATTTATAATTTTCGTTAGAAAAAATATGGTTTTATGTTTTTTGTATTTTGTATAACATGATTTTGTGTTTATAATAAAATACAGAGTGCGCCAGAACTCGCGCCCCAGTTATATAAATAAGGTAAGATACCAGGAACATGGAAAAAATGTTCAAAAAATTTTATCTACAAAAATTTCGAAGTTATGAGAGTTTAAATTTTGCACTTTGACTCTATTTGTTGTCTGTTGGAAAAATAATTTTCCAAGTTTTTTTGCTACAGGCTATTAGAAGAGGAAATAAGAAAGTTGTATCCTAAATTGTAACTATGTTCAATTTTATTTGTGGCTTTTGTTGGCAAAATTTTTGTACCTTTACTAAATAATTGTAAAAAAACATATACAAGACCATCAGTATCATTAAATAGTCATAAAAAATGTCAAATGTCAAAAAATATGTCAAAAATTTTTGACAGATAGAATTTTTTAAACATTTTTTTCATGTTCCTGGGATCTTATCTTACTTATTTTTTTTCTCTGGGGCGCGAGTTCTGGCGCACCCTGTATGCTGTATGTATTTTTAAACTGCGATGAGGTTGCCCCTACCTAAAAAAAATTGTAACGACGCCCCTGGTTCCTGGTGTCTTATCTTACTTGAAATTTTTCTCTGGGGCGCGAGTTCTGATAAACCCTCTATAAAAAAAATTGAAGAAAAAATACCTCATATGCGCTTGTTGCTTGCAATTTGAAAAAAACCGGGAGGTATAAATACGCCGCCACTGGTGTGAATATCCCATACGCAAGGTTTATTACAATGAATTGGATACCAAAAGTGTAATTCTCGCTGGAGACACCCAAAAGTGTGATCGCTGACATGAAGGAAGCCATCAGGGAAAAAGCGACCGGAGTTATAGACATGTTTTTATCAGCTAATAAATATTCCTATAACGAAATTGAACACTCAGTGAAATATTATTAGAATTTTAGTGACTAATTAAGTAATTACCTGCATGGTTTTCTGTTTCCCCCCTGTAAATCGATAATAAACGCCGATACTGGACGAAATTAATAAAACAATCACTAGGACAACATAGTCCCAAACGCCAAAAAGTGGGTGATATTCGGCCATGGTTTAGTCTAAAATTTTATTACACACAATTAAATAATATATTACACAAACCGGACATTTTTTACATTCTTTAAATGAATTGAAAAACTGAAAAATCAGATGATGACACCACACATCACATCGGTATTAAATGGATTAAAAAGCTAAGCATTTTTATACGAGTTGTAAAATGTTAATACGTTATCACGACAAAAGCAGACTGGATTAAATAATAAACTAATGAAATTGAATAAAATGTTGCAATCAGTCAAGATAAGCAAAAAAATTACATTAACATACTTACTTTTACTTTTCTAGCAGCGCATTGTCAAAGTTTAAAAACTACAATTGATTACCAACGTCAAGTCTTAATCAATGAATGTTAATAAATCGTCCAAATTGTGTGATGACCTCTTCTTCGCTCATAAATGATGCATTGTTATAAACAATAGAAGTTACGGTTTCTGGTTACAGGAATAAACTATGAGGGATTCCGTAGGTCAAAGGTTTTCTGGAAAAAAAATTACAAAATTAAATTCAATTAAATTAAATTCATTTTGCTTTTTTGTAGAGAAAAAAACAAACTTTCGTTTGAGAAATGCGGTTAAAATTTTATTTCATTAAATTATTTATGTAATTTTGATAAATAATAATCTTAATGAGTTAATTGTTTTTGAATAAAAAATCAAATACATAAAATAACAATCCATGATTTCTAATAGAGATTACAATTTCATAACGAAATGATTGAGTAAACAAGAATTACACATAATAAACTGTTAAAAACACGAGTAATAAATAGTCTACATTTTAAAACTTGAATCAATATCGTTTTTTGAATTTTTTTGACTCTCTAGAAACGACATTCTCAACTTTAAAGTTGTCATTTTTTTATTTATTTCTATCACGTTTAGTACCGTTGGAAAGCATTTTAAATTTTCTGTCATGCAAAAAAAGGTCATTGTCGTACGATAAATAGTTATCGAGAAAATTACTGATAAATTCAAAAATATCCTAAATATGTTATATTTGACCATAACTTCTAAACTATTGCCAATTTTGTAGTTTTCTGGGCGTCAATCGACTCCCCGGAACATTTTACATACATATAGGGTGCGCCAGAATTCGGGCCCTAGAGAAAAATGCCATATGAGGTGATACCAGCAACATGAAAAAAAAAATCTAAAAAAATTTCGAAGTTATGAAAGTTTAAATTTTGCACTTTGACGCTATTTATTTGTGTTGGAAAAATAATTTTCCAAGTTTTTTTGGCTACAGGCTATTAGAAACAAGGAAGCTGTATCTCTGTTTTAATGTTATTTGTGGCTTTTATTGACACGTTTACTAAATAATTGTAAAAAAAACATATATAAGATCATTAGAAAAAATAGAAAAATAGACAAAAAAATGTTAAATGTCAAAAAATAAATGTGAAAATAATTTTTGACAGATAGGATTTTTAAAACATTTTTTCCATGTTCCTGGTACCCTATCTTACTTGAAATTTTTTTCGGGGGCACGAGTTCTGACACACCCTGTACAATGTAAAACCTTAAAAATTTTGAAAATGCCAAATTTGTCAAAATAAATGAAAATAAAATTTTTTGAAAGGATTCAGAGAAATTTAATTTTTCGGTTAAAACCGGTTTTACGCTTATTTTTTATTTAATATGTCATTTAATATCTCAAAAACCGATTGTAAATCATTTTAACCTTGCGTCGTGTTCAGTGCGTGATTTTACGTCTAGAAGACCATATTTCAAATTTTAAAAGTGACAAGTTCATTTTTTCTAATCTTGAAATGAACCATTCGTAAAATTTAATAAAACAAATAATTTGTAATTACTATAAATAAGTACTTAAGCTTTAAGCGTGCATTTGTCCTATTTATCAATGTAGAACAAAAAAATGAGACAACAAGGTCATCCTGACATTATTAAATGTGAAATGACCCTTATTAGATAGCAACCTCACTTTAAATTTAATAATATTTTTATTATACCTGCATCATAATCCTAAATTAAAACACGCTGCAGCGTGCGTAATTTGGCCTTTATAGCACGCTGAAATTTTAAAGTTGTCTAGGTAACAAGAAATAGCGTCTGGACCAATGTGAAAAAATGTGCTTAACAATGTAAACTAGTAACACATTTTTTCAATGCTCATAAAAGATCGTAAATGAGCAGGTATAATAAAAAATAGCGTATAACACTCGTTTATAAGCGCCTTTAAAACACTTACGATGTTAAAACCCGTCGTACGTGTATTAAAGGCTTGCTTATAAACTAGTATTTTAATATACTATTATATTTTTGTCATTTTGACGTTTGAAAAAGTCAAATCTGACGTTTTAAAAAGTCAAATTTGACGTTAAAGCCTACTTTACAGTAAGTTTTGAGAAGTGTCAAAAATTTGCCGTTCCATTTTTTGTTAAAAGGCAATTTGGTGTAACAACTATTCGAACCAATGAAATTATTATAAAAATTGTAGGTTAAGTTTTTTGAACTTGTGTTATTTTTTTTAATATTAGTCTATTATTAGCAAAACTGGTGCGTGAAATTAAAACGTACAATAGTAGAATGCAGAAATGATAAAAATGGAAAAAATCAATTTTACTCACATTGCGTCATGCACGCAAAATCGACATAATTGAGCACTTACGAAAATCGAACTCCCAGCAATAATAGAAAACTAAAATCAAATGCTATAACGGTGGTTGCAAGAACCAAACTGTGACGTGTTAAAACTCCTTCAAGTAAAATGGTAATCGATCAATTCCAGTAAACGCGTGGTAAAAAAAACGTAAAAGTTAACCTCAATTTTCGCTCAAAGTTGCAACATGTGTGAAGATCAAGGTTGGGAGCAATAAACATGTAATCTCGGATAATCAGAGATTTTCTGATAGCAAAAAAGACATTGAACATTTGCTCCCCGTTCCCCTCTCCAATCATTGTGCGCAACTCGATTTAAAAATAATCAAACTCAATTTTTTTGCTTTTTGTTATTTTGAAGAATATTATGACAAACACACGCAAAAAATTACCTTACAAACCGATTTTGTGGTGAAGTCGTAGAGACAATAAACTTGGCACAAATATTGTTTACTGAGTCAGATTTTAACTATTTTGGATAATCGAAATTTAAATTTGCCGCCGAACCGGAAGTACAACAATTACCAACCTCACAACGGTGGTAAAAAAATCATAAACGCGTCTTTGTTTACTTGTTTACCAACAATTTATTGTGGAATTTGGGTGAAAATTAACGAATTTCGAAAGTGATTTACCGATTTTGAACATTTACGGTGTTAATTATCAAAAAAGGAAAAAACATAGTGAGTCATTGACCAGTGATGCGTTTTTGTTTCAAGTGTCAAACAACATAACCTCAAAATGTGATTTAAATCATTATTTTTTATTTGCAAATTTGAGAAATTGTAACGGTTGTGTAACAAAAAGTGGTGGGATTTGTACAATTGTGTTAATAACATTTGTTTTATTGACAGTTGGGGTAAAGTATGTGCAAAAGTGTAATTAGATTTTTGAATGGTTTTCGTGTGAATAACGCCGCAATGTCCCGCGAATTGGTAATTTCGACGTTTATATAATGCCAATAAGTCGCAACAATGATCAAAACATAAAACGACTTTGTGCGAAAATGTCCGAAAATTTTCCAGATGAATGCAAGTCGAAATTGTCAAAATTACCGGATTCTACAAGTTATTTAGCACAAAGTGTCGATAAAAACGACTTAAACTTTGCCTACGATCATATGTACGCATCAAACACGGAAAACGGCGAAATAAACACAACAATAACCGAAGATGCGAACTGTCAAAGTGCCGAAAGTGAGGTTAAGTTTTGGAAAGAGTGGTTGATACTCCATCTCGACCTCATCCAACAACAAAGCGATGAAATTTTAAACAAGGAGAGAACCATCCTCATTCTCCAACAAGAAAATGAAATGGTAAGTGACACGAAATCGTTGTACAATTCTTCCTCCAACGATTTTTGTAGCTTAAAGAGCGCATAAGTTGTATGGAACGCGGGGCCCCTTTCCACCCCAACAAGTTCTACAATAACCACTCCACGTCGTTTTTGGACGAAGGACTAGATATGACTCAAGATTCGAGTGTCTGCGACGAAGACAACAAGAATTGCTTGGACCTTTTGGACTTGAATTGCGAAAACGGTACTTGTCCACCACTGAAACTTGCCAAATTTGAGGAAAACAGTCGCAGTGACGGCGAATCTCAAACGGGGAAACCTTCCATAGACAATAAGTTTGATTCTCAGGTTAACTATCATAAAATTAGTGACAAATTGAAAAGTGAGAGTGAAATCGCAGATTGTAATAGTACTAGTGCCGGGTTTGACTTTACAGTTAATAGTTCGGACGAATTTGACCCAATGAGAAACTTAAGAATGAGTATTAGGAGAAAACGGTTAAGTAATTCGTCAGCTGTGTCCAACAACGACTCAGTTTTGGAGGAAAAACGCTCATTTAGGAAGTTTAAAAAACGGCGCAAACGTTAGTCTAAATTTTTTTATTACCTAAACTTAATAAAATGTTTCAGGTGTTTTGAAAGACTCTCAGATTTTGACCACAACGGATCAGTACATTACTGAAGCTGGTAGGACGAATTTGAGGCTGTCAAACGTCACCGATTTACAAGAAATTCCCAACAACACGAATTTGGAGGTTAATAATCCTTCATTGTCTACAGTTTTTTACTTTGGTGTTACAGGTCCCCCGTTGGAGGGTCAAAGTCTACGCTAGTTGTTACGCAATGGAAGGGACTGAAAATTTAGATGATGAAGTTTTTAACAAGAGACACAGTCGGTTGGAAAACGACGAACGTAGGAGAAAGCGATGGGATGTTCAAAGGATAAGAGAGCAAAGAGTAATTGAGAAATTGAAGCAGAGACAGGAAAGATTGGGTTCGGGGTCGCGAACGGATGAACAGACTGATTCCGTGTTGTCTCTTTGGCCCACTTTAGAAAATATTAAATATTTAGAAGTTTCAGATCAATTGCCGGTGTCGGCTTTTGGTTCCCCTATTCCAAAAATAGCCCCAAGGTAGCAGCTTAAATATCGAATAAACAACTTTTGACTTGATTTTTTTAGTGAATTTAATTTGCCATGGTTGAGTAATCCGTCTCTAATCACGTCTAAGAAAGGGTCAACGAAACGCACAACATTGAGAAGGAAAAATTCGAGGAGATAAGTATTACGTTGGTAACTCAAATAAAATTTTAGTCAAACACCACTGCCTGTCTTTTGTATATAAAAATAAAGTGGTGAAATGAACGAAAATGTGATTTTGTGAATAAACATTATTTGTAAATTGAAACAATCTCATTACATGACAGTTTGTAAAGTATTTATTTAGGTTTTAAGCTTACTTTTGAGTAGACTATTAGGCGACGTAATACCAGTTTAGGTCTGTATTACCCCACATTAGGGAACCTAAATAATTTTTAGATTGCGAATTTTTTATTTTTTAAGTAATGTAATATTGTGATATCGGAATTGTTATGTCGATAGATTTCCTGATAATGATATTAATTTACAAATATATATTTTTAGTTGAAACACATCAAATAAATAAATGTATTAGTTGTACTTATTTGTGTATCAGTCACTGTATTTTAAAATATACACAATTTTCCGAAATTCGTGTTTTATATGAAACAAATGGTCGCAAAATCGAACGTTAAAGTTTGCCTACCGCAAACATTTTTTTTTTCTAAATGTACACAATTTTTTCGTTTTTTATTAATAATTACCATTGTAATATACCGAACAGTATTAATAATTTTTTTTTTAATATTTTTTTTTCAACAGAATTAAATAATTCAGTGACGACATTGCACATCGTACAGTTGCGGAATTAAAATTTCGGACAGTATTGTCAAGTAAACGCTAAAACAACCTTTACATTAATAACCTCATTTTTTACTCTTGTCATGTTTATGTCATTTTGACTTAAAAAATAGCGTCCCTGACAGAAAAGTTTAATTGTCAAATGTCATACATGGTGTTTCAAGTAATTTTACGAGGCTTGCGCCTGTAAGATGCAATCAATAATACATATTCCGATACGAACTCGATTACAAATTTTGAAAAATTAGATAATCTTCTCTAGTTTGTTCACCCTTTCAAAAATTACAACGTTTTTATTTAGTTAGTGATTAAGATAGATAAACTACAATCATATTCATGCCGTCTCTTGATAGAACAAATGATAATTGTTTCTGAAAAACTGCAGTTTATGACTATTAATGAAACAGTGATTAGTTTGACAACTACTGTCATGGATTTCCAAAAATTAAATAATTAAATGTGTATTTTTATATCCAGTGTTCTGTGACTTTTGTATATTTAGGTGCGTACATTAGGCGCAAGCCTCGTAAAGTTATGTGAGACACCCTGTATATGATATGATATATGTCATAAATGTCATGATGACAGTAAAACGTAGTTTACAGTGAACTTTTTGCAATGACAGAAAAATACTGCCCGAAATTTTAATTCCGTAACTGTACATATGACAAAATATCTTTTTTTATGAACTCTTGATTGCTTATTTGTACGAAGCGTAATTGTTTTATTTGTTTAATGACGTTTTTTTTTAAAGTTTAGTTCTAAATTTAATTTCAAATCTTTATTAAAAAAAAACAACACTACATATACATTTTTTTAAATATATCACAAATTTAAACTTTCTATATAAAGAAAAAGAATTCTGTGTTACACTGGATTCCAGTGACAAATTTAGTGCCAAAACTCCTCTTTTTATAGTGCACAGATGTATTGTTGATTGCATAACAGATCATCTATCCTTGTTCTTAGAATGACATTTAAACTAACCTAACTTTTGCATAAGCACAAAACACAGCAAAAATGTTAATAAAAGACGCTCCGGTGATTTGGGATAGTCTCAGATCGATTATATGTGTTTACAAGCCTCCTGATGTGTCTTGTGGACGTGTACGGCAAACAATCATTGACGCTATTTGTCGAGGTTAGGTCAACCTAGCCCCCTTATTCTGATAAATTTATGGAAAATTGTAGGTTTAAATGAAATGGAATGTCGCCCTCCTGTCGATTTTGTCAGTATTGAAGGAAATCCATCTCAGAAATTGACCGTAACTGTGAAACCAAATCTCGCCGATGACCCCCTCGTCGTGGGGCCCCGTTACATCCCCGACGACTTAAAATGCAGCTGGTCGAATTTTTTAGGTTTCAATACGAGCGGAGTTCTTTGTACTTATGTTAACCAAACAAGTGATAAATCGCTCATAATTGTTTTGCAGTGTTAGGATTAAAGAAAGGTACTAGAGTGGCAAAACTGATAAGAGAGAATAGACCTACGAGATGTTACCGATTGGCGGGACGGTTGGGTGAGGTGACAGAAAACGGTTTCAAAGACGGAAAAGTCGTGGAAAAGACAACCTGGAAACATGTTAAATTAGAAAACATGAATCGGTTTCTGGCAACACTTCAAGCTTCACATCAGAAAGAAATGTTTAAGTATGTTTGTTGATTTGGGATAAACAAAATTTCTTTCATGTAATTTAGGTCATGTGGTATTGAGCTTCAATCAGAAGAGGCCTACAAACTGGCTTGCCAAGGACCAATCAGGCCTGCAAATTCCAAACTTCCTATCATTTATGGAATCAAGTGTGTCGGATTTGAACCCCCGGATTTCGTCATTGGTAAGAATTACATAGATTGTTGATCAATAATAAATAATTTCTGCAGAAATACAATGCATTAACGAGTATGAAACTTACCTGAAAAGTTTAATTCAAGAAATTGGAATTAAATTACACTCATCAGCGCATTGCACCGGCATTCAGTGCATCAGACATAGTTATTTTACCCTAGAAAACGCACTTTTGCGCAAACACTGGACTTTGCAACACATTATCACAAACATGGAACAATGCATCCAAATTATGGACACACACGAAAACATTATCGAACAGAAATCAGCAGTTTTACAATAATTTAACGAAAATTTAGCCTCTGTTAATAAATATTATTTGACGTAAATTTGTTCGTGTTTCCTCTGCCAAATGGCGTCAAATTTTCAAAATTTGGTGAATTTTACTCAGTAGTAAATTTTGAATTCGCAGTTGGTAACGAAATTTTTTATTGAAAGAGATAAAATTACAAAAAGATACTTAAGGGATGCGTTCAAAACGGCTTTACACCCGGTGACTCTCCACTAAACGATAGTTCCATACTTCATTAGAAATAATTTATTTTTTATTTGACATTTTCTTGTCATGTTGACATTTCGGTTACTAAACGTAGGAACTACCAACTTGACAATAATAATCACGACAATTTGAACGTTTTTTTTATTAAAAATGTAAATCTCATAATTTAAACATTAGAAGCACTTTCGATGCACGATGACAGGTCCGCACTCATCATATTCATCTTTCGAGATCCACATTTGTTGAAACGTCGTTAAACTCGCAAGGATGCTTCCCCCAATCCAAACCGAGTATTTCCTCTCTGGGGGTGCAATAATTTTAATTTTCATTGAAGCCGGTGCGAGTGCAGCAATTTCCTTCTGAATTCTATCGGCCATCCCTAGAAACATTGTACTACCCCCAGAGAGTACAATATTAGCGTACAAATCCTTCCTAATGTCCATATCGGATCTCATAATGGAATTGTAGGTGGTTTCATGAATTCCGGTAGTTTCCATTCCGAGGAAAGTCGGCTGGAACATGGCTTCCGGGCACCGGAAACGTTCATTTCCTATCGTGATGATTTGCCCATCTGGAAGTTCGTAACTTTTCTCAAAATTGTTCATAGTCCTTGCCAATGCAAGATCTCGGTCAAAGTCCAAAGCTACGAAACAGATTTTTTCCTTCAAATCGCGGATTATTTCGCGTTCTGCTGTGGTGGTAAAACTGTAACCGCGCTCGGTTAGGATTTTCATCAGGTAGTCGGTGAGGTCGCGACCTGCGAGGTCCATGCGGAGGATTGCGTGCGGGATGGCATATCCTGAGGGAAAAAATACAACTTGGTGAAAAAGTTTAAAATAAAATATCTTAATTAGTGTTAATTAATGTTACCTCATTGGCATTTACATAAGTCTAGTGACTCTACAAAGTAAATAAATATACAGGGTGAATATAATGTATGGAATGAAGCGGTTATATTTTTAATCATTTGCCTCCAGAAAATAATAATTAATATAAATTAAAGTAATATAAAAAATGTGATCGTATTTTCAGAACGAACTTTTGTTTTGTTTTTGAGCTATGATATTTTTTTGGTCAAAATTGCAATTTATGTAAAAAAAAATTTTTTTTTAATTAAATATAAAGCAGATAGTTGTAATCCTTAGAGTATAGCTTTTATGAGAAAAATGATTTTATAGTGGGTTGCCATTTAAAAAAATATTTTTTTTTGTAGAACTCAAAAACAAAAGGAAATTTCGAAATTTTATTCTTTTGTTAAATCATCACATTTTTATAGTACTTTATCACTCATGAATTAGTTTTTTCAAAAAATAAATAGTTCAAGGAAAAAACGTTTGGTTCCATACCTTTTATTCACCTGGTATAAGCTAATTTATTCTAAGTGAGAATTTATAAGACAGAAAAACCAAAACTAAAAAATTCCTCAAAAGAGTGAAATGGATTTTTCACTAAAAAATTTTTGACAAAGTTTTTAAATAAATTACAAGGTAATATTTTGATACTAAGAGATAAAGTATTGAAGAATTTTAAACAGTAATAGTTAACAGCGTCTCGAGATCGGTTTAATCTTAAGAAATCATTGTGAAGTAAGTCTTTGTGACGAGTGAAGTGTTCATGGTCTTGAGTTGAAAATTTTGAAGAATTATTTTTTACAAAAAGTAAGCAGCAAAAAATGTACAATGATGATTTGTAGACCCGCGAAACTCTTGCGGCAACACTCTCTGTTCTTTAAATTGTTAATAATCCGAATAACTTTACGTTGGAGGACAAATAAAATTTTCGGATGACGAGAATGCCCCCACACTAGTAGACCGCACATTAATAGGCTTTGAATGTAGACATGATATGCCGTGATAATTGTTTTTTTTTTGGATGCAACATGCAGGAGTTGTCTTAGTACGTATATTTTTTGTGATATTTTATTTGCAATAAATGTTATGTGATTTTCCCAAGTAAGTTTATTGTCAACATAAAGACCTAATAATTTAATAGCTTTTGGAGTTTCGTCAATGTTTCGTAACGAAAATGTAATCAATTGTGTTTTGTCTTCATTAAGAGATAATCTGTTTGATTCAGACCATATTTTGAATTCATTATCCGAGGATAAGGCAATATTATGTAATGATTCAGTATCACTGTGACTGTCTAAAATTGTGGTATCGTCTGCGAATAATATTATATTAGAACGAGTCGCCATGGGAAGGAAGATCATTTATACAGGGTGTTCCGTTTTTATTGTTACAAATTTAAACAGGTGATAGGATATTCAATTCTAAGACAAAAGCATCCTATAAACATATATCGAAAAATGCTTGGTAAGGGAGCTACACCCCCTGAAAGGGGGCTAATAGGTTTTTGCTAATATTTCAGAAACCATTTAAGATAAAATTACAAAATTTGGTACAGATGATAATCTTTATACACCTAAACAAATTCAAACATCAAATGTCGAAATTTCTAATCAGGGGCGTCCGAAACTGGTGGGGTTTAGGGTAAAAAAATACCCTATCTATTTTGGCTTTAGTTTCTTTAGTTATGCATTGACCAAAATGGTGGTCACTTTGAAAACTCCTTTAGATTTAGGCAAATTCATTTAATTAATGTTATTATTGTTACTGTAATGTAATGTTAATTAGTTGAGGTTGATTAAAAAATATGAATTTCTTGCTTTTATTATTCTGTAAATTCTGATTTATTTGAATGTTGTATTGGTGTGTAACATAAATTTTAAATTAATTTTATTCAAAAACAATAAGTCGTATCGACACAAGAGAGACTTTTCTGTGATAAACTATCGAACTTAAGATTTTGTTGCTGAAAGTAACGAGAAACTAAAGTCAAAATAAATAGGGTATTTTTTTACCTTAAACTCCCCCAGTTTCGTACGCCCCTGATTAAAAATTTCGACATTTGATGTTTGAATTCGTTTAGGTGTATAAAGGTTATCATCTGTACCAAATTTTGTAATTTTATCTTAAATGGTTTCTGAAATATTTGCAAGAACATATTAGCCCCCTTCCAGGGGGTGTAGCTCCCTTACCAAAGATTTTTCGATACATGTTTATAGGAAACTTTTGTCTTAGATTTGTAACAATAAAAACGGAACACCCTGTATAAATTAGGTATAAACAATAAAGATCCTAATACTGATCCTTGAGGAACACCAAATTTATTTTATTAACAGCTGGAAACTTTATCTTTATATTGAACAAATTGTTTGAGATCTCGAAGAGAAAACGATTTTAACGCAATACTATTAGAAGAAAAACCATAGTGTTTCAGTTTATCTAAGAGAATGCTATTAGTAATGCAATCAAAAGCCTTAGTTAAATTATAACAAGCTGCAAAGACGTGATTTTTATTTTCAAAAGCATCAAAAACTAGCTGTGACACGAGTTCTAAAGCAGAAGTAGTCGATCTGTTACATCTAAACCCAAATTGACTCTTGGAGAATAAATGATTATTTTCAAAGTGAAAACTTATTTGATTTTTTAGTAGTATCTCGAGAATTTTTGAGAGGATAGGTGTTAAAGAAATTGGTCGGTAATTTGCAGGATCATTAACGTTTCCTTTTTTGAAAATAGGTATTATCTTTGATAGTTTTAAACATTGGTAATTAGACACAGATTAAAAAGCTTAGTTAAGGGAGAGATTATGAGGTTTTTGATGGTTAGAATGATAGTGGAATTAATACCATATGCATCATTACTGTTTTTTTTAAGTGTGTTAAAAGCATCTCTGACATCATTTATTGAAAAAGGTTTAAATTCAAAAGAATTTGTATTTTTGTAAATTACTAGCAAAAGTTGAGTCTGATTTTTCCAATCCATCAATAATATTTTCAGCAATGTTCGAAAAATAATTGTTGAAACTGTCAGCGTCAATATTTGTATCATGTGATTTAGGAAACTGAGGTTTTTCTTTGATTACTGACCACATGGATTTGCATTTGTTATTTGACTTAGAAATAAAACGGTCATTGGCATATTTTTTTTGCATTATTGAGATCAGATCTCTACCGGGATTTATATGCGATAAAAGCTGATTTCGAAATAATATTGTTTTTGTACAAATTATACATAAAAACTAAGTTAGATATTTTTTCCTTTAATTCACGAGTGAACCATTTTGTTTTAATGAAGTTTTCTCTTGTAAGTAATTAGTTTCAGCGGAAAGAAAAAGTTTATGGCGGTCATTAAAATATTTAAAAACATAAGGAATTTATCAGCACAATTTAGCTGAGAATCAATGTTTGAGGGGGTCAAGGTGGGTCATGTGACCCCTCCTCTGGAAGTTAGCCTAAGACATTTTTTCAGAATAAGTTTTATTCTGTTAGCGGTAAACTATTTTTTTTTTCCAATTTTGTTGTGAAAAGCAACCATTGTGATATGTCATTTTAGTTGTCAAATGTGTTTAATTTTATCACTAATTATAAAATATGACATTATTTTATCACTAGTGTTAAAAAGTGTGACATAAAGAAAACAAATAACACTATTTTCATAGCAACGCCACGACCTAGTATTATTTTGGAAAAATATTGAAATCACAGATTTTAAATTCGAATTTGATGCCTATGCTTTTCACAACCAAACTGGAAAAAATCTTGTATGAAACACGATTCAAAATGGCTGTTTTTTGCACACGTCTAGTAAAAAACACGATCATTTTGCAACTTGTTTTTTTAAACATTTTTTTAGTAACATTTTTTAACTTTTTATCATAGACGATTTTGGTTGAGAAAAACGAAATTTCAAACTTTTTTTCCCTAATTTTTTTATTTCTATTGATTATTGTTTTTTAGAATGTATTTCCAAATGTTACATTTTTCTTAGTATTTATTAGTTCATGTTATTTCCTGATTTGTGTTATTTTATGATTAACTTTTATAAATTTTATATTTTTTTAATTTATGGTTTTAGAGATTAAAATTGTATAAATGAAAAAAAATTACAATAGTAATTGATGGTCTTATAATTGCTAATCCACTGGATATAGTCGCATTTTCCTTGGAGAAGTATGTAAAACAAATGCCAGTGATGCCAGATGAGATTAAGCGCTTGTCCCTAGAACGTAGCTTCTAAATTCCCTAGAATTCCCTAAACTACTTAAAAAATTAAAACGATACTATTTCATTGACCTATTTTGTTGAGGTAATATAATATAAATACAACATAGAAATGTGTTAACTCCAAACACCAAAAAATCAATAAATAATATAACAATAAATTAAAATAAATGTTACTAAAGAAATAAAAAAATAAAATACAAGTCAATTAAAACAAATTCAAATAAACGTACTTAATTCTTATTTATACTTATAAATTATGTGATTTCATTAATTTTAAATATTCGTCTAAAACATTAAATGAACTGCAATAATTAGTAAACTTGGCAACGCGAAAAACGCAAACGGTTTTTAGTTATCTTGTTCTTTTTTTTTGTCTTTAACAACTACATAAAATACATTTTTGGTTTCCGCGTTACTATGTGCTAAACTCATATATAAATGCGCTAACTTGGCGAAGTTACAATATTCATATTAAAATTTTTTGTACTTTTTGAAACTGTGCCAGCAGTGTGAAAAAAATTGAGATTTCACTGAAAATGTAAAAAATCCCTAGATTATTAAGAAAAAATGCAAAATATCCATTTTTCATTTTTTGTTAGAAAAAATCCCTAGAACTAGGGAAAAATTCCCTAATCTGGCATCACTGAGAAATGCCAGTCTGACAGTGGTGCCAACGTTTAAAAGACTAATTACCTTCATAGATGGGCACCGTGTGCGAGACCCCATCCCCCGAGTCCATGACAATCCCCGTGGTCCTCCCACTCGCATACAGCGACAACACCGCCTGAATCGCCACATACATAGCGGGACACCCAAACGTCTCAAACATGATTTGGGTCATCTTCTCCCTGTTTATTTTCGGGTTGAGGGGGGCTTCGGTCAGGAGAACGGGATGATCCTCGGGAGACACCCTCAACTCGTTGTAAAAAGTGTGGTGCCAGATTTTCTCCATATCGTCCCAATTACTCACAATTCCGTGTTCGATGGGGTACTTGACGGTTAAAACGCCCCTTTTGGTTTGGGCCTCGTCACCCACGTAGGAATCCTTCTGGCCCATCCCGACCATCACACCCTTTTAAACAAATTTTTCGGTGAAATTTACAAAATTTGGGGGAAGTACCTGGTATCGGGGACGTCCAACCACACTCGCGAACACGGCTCGAGGGGCGTCGTCTCCTGCAAAGCCTGCTTTGCACATTCCCGAGCCGTTGTCGATGACCAAGGCGGAAACGTCGTCGTCGCACATTTTTCGAAATGAATTTAGCGTGAAAATTCGATGCAAAAATTACCGAACAATTTCTAGATTCACAGAAAAATGACCACTTGACTCGAGTGGTGATGATGAAATGGTGGTTAATTGCAATAAAATAGACTAATTTTTATACATTTCAAGCATTCACTGTGGCAGACCGTTATGAAATGGTACAATTCACTTAATTACTTCAGATTGCTTTTTTACGGTAAACACACACTGCATCTACTGATAGAAATCGAACAACTTTGATTCTTTTATAACTTTTATTCCCTCCTTGGAAATATTTTTTAGTTTAATAAATTATTAGCTTTCGATGTGTTTCTTTCTCACTTTTAATATGCATGGAGTGCACTTTCTTTCATGACTATTTAACAATTTTTGGAACTTATTTTCGCCGACTTTTAAATTCCAATTAAGAAAAAAGAAAATTACTTTATAATAATTATAGCGTTTTTTGATTAAAATCCGATAACGGTATAAATAAGTGCCCAACAAAACTCGGTTATTACTTAATTTTTAATAAACGAAAACAGTTATTTGACTAATCAAAAATGTTAATTTATTATTTCACTTGATTTAAAAAATAATTAAAACAATTAGTGAATATTTTAACACAAATTTAAGATAATGCCGCCACATTTGGTGTGGTGAAACCTTGTAATTTCCTCAAAATGTCATCTTCAATTACCTACAGAATGCCTACAAATAAGTAGAAATAGACAAATAGAACAAATTTCTCATAATTATTTTCCACACAATCATGAAATATTTAAATGAACGCAATGATGGAAAAATGTAAGAAAGTAGTGGCATGTCTCTTATTGTTTGATTCCAGTGATAATCACACTTGAATAAGAATTCTACATTTCATGTGCCACTGATCCGTTACGTTAAAGTTTTATCATTAATTCATTAATTAGTGTTTAAATTTGGCGCCATATTCAAAGTCCCTAAAAATAACCAAAAAGCTAAACAAACATGCCAATAGTCGTTTTAAAGCCCCTAAAAAAAATTGCATACAATATTACAAAATTTCAAACAATGGCGAATTTGCTAAAGAGTGGTAGAAAAACGCCCTAAAAGGTATAAACCAGTCGTTGATTAACAAATTTCTAGTTGGGTGTTATTCTTAGCGTAAAAGTTTAAACTTGGCGCTATGTTATCACCAACAGCAGCCGTTAAAGTCCCTAAAGAAACCGTCAAACTAACCATAAAAATCCAAACATGTCTCAAAAAATAGACTGGGCGAAATTTGCCGAAGAACAGGAGAAAAGTGTCCAAAAAAAGGTATAACCCAGTTGTTGTTTCACGTTTCACGCACTTTAACAAATTTTCAGTTGGGCGAGGTTAATCTAAGCTCGAATGGGAAAGACTCCTCCGACGAGGCCCCCGACGAATTCAACCCAGCCGATGCTAGTTTACTGCGAAAAGTAATACGAAATGGCCTCGTTGAGAGCAAAACCGACATTGAAGTCCAGAGACAAAACCCAAACTCGCCACTTTATTCAGTTAAAACATTTGAAGCTTTGAACTTGTAAGTTCTAATTGTTGAGTTTCCTCCATGTGGCTTTCATTTGCAGAAACCCGAATTTATTGAAAGGTGTTTATGATTTGGGGTTCAATGCGCCCTCGAAAATCCAAGAAACTGCACTCCCCACTCTCTTGGCTAACCCCCCACAGAATTTGATAGCCCAATCTCAGTCAGGAACTGGCAAAACTGCCGCTTTCGTCTTAGCCATGTTGAGTCGTGTCGACACGACGAAAAACTACCCCCAAGTAAGACTCTCTTGTTACTGTTTTAAAGTCAAAAAATAAACAAACTTTTAATAAAATTCTGGAATTGCAYAGGTCAAAAAATAGATTCTAAAAATCTCAATTGAAATTAAGAACTAAAAAATTGAAAAATTCAGTGATTTAGTGTGAAAATTTCTAGAAAAAAAACTCTAAAAATTTGCGTATTTTATTGTTTTAATTGAGTGAAACAGGAAAAAAATGAAAACTGCAACACCGCTCAGAAATTTTTTGTAACTTAAAAGCTAAATATTATGAAAATTAGAAAACAAAGGTTAA